AACAAGTAGTGAGTGACGACCTTGTAGCAAGTTGATAAAACAACAGCCTTGTTATACAAATGACAGCATTGTTGACAAGCTTGCTTACAAGCCTGTTGCGAACACATCTTGTTGACAAGTACTGTAAAGCTAGTTGTGAGATTTTGAGAAGACTCAAAGTGTATTTATAGTCTTTATAACGAAGTACATAAAGTACAGGTGTCTGAAATGTAACCATTCCGTAACTCGAAATTATACTGAGGAGTTATAGATCTAGGAGAACATGCATGCAAGTGTATATGTAAATACTACAATCGACTTCAACATTTCTTAGTCCCATCTCATCCCATCAGTCGCCATGTTTTGTCATGCAGACTTACACATATTCCGACTAAGTTATGATTTTGAATAACTTGGGTTTGGAAAGATCAACTGGTACAAGCAAAAAGTTAATGACGTTTGTTTACGTTGAATCTATTCCTATTCTCTGGTCTATTCTTTGGCATGCACTCGCGTCCTTTTCAAAAACACTACGTGTGGTTTGGTCTTCGTTCTAAAAATAACATAATTACAATCATTCAAGCTAAACCAAATATTACAAAAATTACAATGCAGAATGTTCTCTGAGTCTCAAACATTTAGCGAATTTTTCAACACAGAATCACATTTATTTCAGTCACGTATTTAAACTAAGGATAACATTCAGCAAAATTGGTATAGTTACAAAACCATTACCCACATATTAAAATTACTATATTAATCAAACGTGTACAATGATCAAAGGAGCAACATGCTTTGAGTTGACCCACTGTGTATATGTATCAATAACATAACAACACGAAAAAAAATCGAGCAGAAGATTATATAGAATTTTAGACTTGACCTGAACCCCTGCCATTCCGGTGCAGTGCGCTTCTAACCAACTGAGCTATACAGAGTCCAGTTATCAAGTTTTTAGTGTGAAGTTTCACTTCACACTATTGTGATGGCTGGCGAATTCACACGAATCAGTCAAACAGTCAGTCAGTCAGTCAGTCAGTCAGTCAGTCAGTCAGTCAGTCAGTCAGTCAGTCAGTCAGTCAGTCAGTCAGTCAGTCAGTCATAGAGTAAACTTTCCGGGGGGTGTATACGATTTATGTTCGTAGTGATTTATTGTACTTAGTCAGTACTTTGAAGGTTATTTAGGCAATTTCAGTTAACTTATTTACATATTCTGTTATCCTTTTGCCAAGTTCACAAAAATTTCGGGGAAACGCTTTCGTTATTGTATTTTTTTATAAATTTTCGAACATTCGCTTCTCATGTTGTGTAAAGGATCTTTACCCCGGAACACCCGTTTTTTTTTTAGTAGCGCAAATGCGCATGCGCTATCAAGCCGTAGATCACGATGGCGTGACGATATGCTAGGAAGGAGTGACAGTGTTGTTTTCAAATGTATAAAGATTTCAGACGTGAATATTGTGTAAATCTTTGAAAATCTACGCAATATATAAATTGATCTTATGAATTACGGGCGTTCAATTAAGTGCCGATAATATTTAGACGGTATATTCATTATACAGAGCTAGGAAGGAGCTAGACCGCCTAGACAGTGCAGTCAAGTGTGTAAACATTTCAGACGTAAATATTGAGTCGAATATATTGATTCTAGGCATTCATTTGAGTGCCGATATTATTTTCACGGTATTCTCATTATATAGAGGTACAGTACGTAGGCAGAAACGAGACAGTGTTGTTTTCAAGTATATAAAGATTTCAGACGTGAATATTGAGTAAATCTTTGAAAATCTACACAATATATAAATTGATCTTATGCATTACTGGCGTTCAATTTAATAAGTGCCGATAATATTTAGACGGTATATTCATTATACAGAGCTAGGAAGGAGCTAGACCGCCTAGACAGTGCAGTTAAGTGTATAAACATTTCGGACGTAAATATTGAGTCGAAAATCTTGCTTCTAGGAAGCGAGACTGTTGTTTTCAAGTATATAAACATTTCAGACATGAATATTGAGAAAATATTTGAGATTCTACGCAATAATAGTAATACAATATATAAATTGATGTGATGCATTACCGTCGATATTATTTAGACCGTGTATTCATTATACATTCTCATTGACTGTATAAGGTGCTACATCACAGAATAGATGGCTATTGAAATCTAAAGTGATATTTATATTCAACACATGCGAAAAGCTGAAAATAGACACACGTCACACTGGGAAAAGTCAAAGGTCAATGAAACTTGTTATTGTGAAACATGTCACAATTAAGTTAAAATGCGGAAGCGGATGGAGCGGATCCACGGAACGGATATGCGGATAAAATACGGAACGGATGAGGATAAAATGCGTCTTTTAATGATGTAACGACGTAGTGCTTATTATTCATAACATATCTTATACAGCTATTTCAATTATAGTTTATTAGATAAATTTAGCATAGCAGTAGCCTCGTGGGGATGCTTTCAGCGACAGCTGCAAATGCAAATGAAAATTTACAATATGCAAAATTTGGTTGTTGGTGACACAATAAATAGATGAATTGCATCAGTTTCACAAGGCACGTTTCTGGTGTGTTAGGCTTGTTTCAAACGTCACGCTACTCGTGTGCCGAGCGTATTAAAAGCAATAAATAATGAGATGAAATGCCTTTGGTAACTGTTTATTTCGTAGTGTAAGCCATCAAGCTTTTCTAGGTTGTCGGCGACCCTATATAGTTCTTGCAGTTTGAAACTTCACACTATCCTTGGATCCCTAGTTATATATATAAGCCATGTTTACAGTACGAGCCTAAGCCTGGCCTGGGCCTACCTTTGGACTAGATTTTTGTAGTGTAAACGCACTTCGGCCTGGCCTAGGCCAGGAAATCTGGGCCCATCAAACAGGCCGGTGGCCCAGATTTCCTGGCCTAGGACAGGCCGAAGTGCGTTTACACTACAAAAATCTAGTCCAAAGTTAGGCCAGGCTTAGGCTCATAGTGTAAACACGGCTATAGTGGGTGATGTCAGTGTAGGGTATAGGGAAATGTTGAAATTTTTGGGTATACCTCGTTCGATATAGAATTTGCTAAAAGTTGAATGATTTTTGTGAATTTTTCCACAAAAATATTTAATTGTTAGTTCCATGGAGCGAGATGCCTCAAAAATCTCCATATAAAATATAACCGTTATTATTCATACCGTGAGAATTTTTGAAAACCCGTATAGATGCAAGTATTTATAGAAAATGGTAGGTCCAACCTACATTACCAATAAGCTTATGTCATTATGAATATGAAAACAAATGTTCCATGAGTCTTCTCATCCTTTGTCTTACGAGCTGCTAATCAACATACTTGTAACACTATAGATGATGCTACTAAAATTAATCTTGGGAGACGAAAAGAAAAAACTAATTATGGAATTCCTACTTTCAAATTTATTTCCTCAAAAATATGCCGGGAAACTATTCATTTGAGTCATCATAACCATCTTCATTAATACATTTCAAAACAGCTATATGAATATATTGTTACAGAATCGGAATTCATACCTCACTATATAGTCAATGAATACATATAATGAAACTTAGTCACAAGTAACCATATAGTTTGAATCGTATCATAAATGGCTCGAAAGCTACTTCCTATACGGCCTCTGTACACTTTCTTACTGCATGCATGTGTATTATAATTTATCATTATGTGATGTATATTTCTTCTTCATCTGGTTTTTGTATTTTCTTAAAAATAGTGTGAAATAAAATATGTTATACCAAACAAACCCAGTCTTTGAAATAAAAATATGACGTTAATTCCATAGTAAACGCGCGCGTGATCTGCATTAGTGATAATATATACGACCACAGGAAGCCATAATTACAGGGTACCGGTATACCTGAATATTTGCTTCTCTTTACGTCTGTCTATAGTTTCCTGATAAAGATGGACGTAAATAGCGTTGATTGCGTGTTTACATATCACGCATTCATGCATGTGCGCGGCTAAAGTTTGTCAGCGATAGTTGAAACTCAGTACCACAAAACCTCTATCTCCAAGCGCGAAAAAGCATAATGGACTTGTTTATTTCCTCTTTTTTTCATGGCATTGTGCACAACACATCTCCGATTCATGCTCCATTACCTCTATTATACAAGCCCATTAGCATGCATTGTGACAACTTCACATGTCTGCAGCGCACTCTAATTCCAGTTATGGGGTAATAAGGTCAAAGCCTGATGATTTAGGCAGAAAAAACAACACTTAGTTGTTAATATTCAACAAAGATACATTTTATTAAATGCATATGGACTTTTACTATAGGCGTTAAATGATTTATGTAATTTTAACATATATAGTATAAATTTAGTAATTGCATGTAAATATCACTTTTATTATTTCTAGTATAAGGGGATCTTATTATATAGGGTAACCAGATTTTCGTATACCCAGATACCTACTATTACCTAGTACCTATAGATACATTTTTAAATATATACTGATTATCATTTTCTTATTTGTATACCATAAACCTCATGCAGAATGTAAGATTTGCAGTGGGCTTATGTCTGTTCGTAAACATTTTTTGATGGGCTTATATACGGGGCAGCTTATATGCGAGTGGGGCTTATATATACGAACGACATTCGATATTAGTATAATACTATTTATTGTACCTGCATGTGAACTATATACCGCGTGAACTAAAAGAAATATAACCATATAACACATAATAAAACAAGTTTGTTAAAAGGACATTAATTGGCAATAAAAAAATAATCTCATTCAAAAGAACTCCTAAAATTATATATTTAACTCTATTACCGATTTGTCATATCTTGCTTAGTTCTCGAAATATTTAGACCGAAATTAATGAGCTGTCCGCCAGCTTGGACTAATTCTTGACCTCATTAACTATGGTTTTGATGACGTCAGGAGTTGGGTTAACCGTATAAAACTACTCTAAAATGACCGAGCAACAATCCAAAATTGTTTGAAATGTTTTTAATCATTGCTAAATTTCAGACAGCAACCAGAAATGAAGTTTTGGACCCATATTGATCGCTTACTCTCAAGATAAAAAATAGCGTGACCCCTCTCTTGACGTAACATGCATGTCCTCAATAATCCAAGATGGAGTAAACTAAGCAATTTGTAAACAATCTGTTTGATATATAATTTTAAGAGTTCTTTCAAATGAACTAAACTAATTTTTTATTGCCAATGTCCTTTAACATGTTATAATACTGTAATGCAATTATTGTCACTCGTCCGAGCTGTTGGAACCCCCTGTAAACACCTGTCCAATAATAAGTCCATAGGCTTATTATATTTGGGGGGGGGGGGCTTATATTCGGAATGGCTTGGGCGTCAGTGAATATGGTGGGATTATACACGGGTGGGCTTATATTCGGAGGTTTACAGCGTGTGATATCTTCAATAAGTTGATTAATTGATTGATTGATATACTGTTCCGCAATGCCAATGTGAACATATGATCTCGTAAACAGCATTCTTTGCCAGATATCGATTAGATTTTAGAGTCTCATTTTGGAGAGTATTGTGAACCATAGCGTAAAATTGGTTAAAACTAACTTTCGAACGTCAATCTAATGGTGCTGAACAATAATTCACAGTATATAGTATACCTAACAGGATATCCTGCACGCTGTATCACGTCTATAATCCCTGTTATTTCCCGCGAGTAAATTTAACTCCAGCTGCCAGATTTATTTTAAACCAAATTTTACTCCACATTTGGTGTTCGCTAAATGTGGTTCAAATTAACTCCGCTGGAGTTAAATTAACTCCCCTGAAATTAACAGTGTTGGTCTTTTAAATTAAAGGATCTTTTATATGACTAATGGGTAATCTCAATTTGAATATATTTGACTTACGTTAAGTGTTTTCTCCAAACGTCATGCATGTCATTTACTGGAATAGGATACGATGGCCTATATATATCAAAGAGTGTTTCGCATCACGATTGGCAGTTGTGCTTGAAAGCAGCAAGAGATTGGTGATATATATTAGGCTAAAAGCTTTGCCAAGAATTGACTGTTCTGATATAGAACCGACAATTTGTAACGTAACAGATTGTATTTTGTAAAACAAAATAAAACTGTAAAAGTTCAAAAATTAAAGCGAATATATATACAGGAGAAATTTTCGCCAGAGCCAAGTTCATAATTTCATACTTGACGTCAACATTGCAACATTGTGCCGAGGAGGGCGGACGTTAAAGAGAATTAAAGATTAACAAGAAACGAGACAACTACAAAATGAAGTGGGCCATTTTATTGCTCGTCGTACTGGTCGCTATTTCGTCAGTCTCTTCTCGAAGAAAGCGTGAGTTGTTTTCTGTTTTATTGTTTTATTTTTAATATTTTGTTCTTTAATTTTCAACAGGGGTGTTTTTTTAAACTTTTTTTTCTAACTTGATAATGATATATCTTGTACAAATAATAATTGTTCACAAAATAAAAGACATATCTGATTTGTCATATGCATGGAAACAGTTTTCGCGAAATGGTCGAACGCGGAATTAGGTGCGACCGTGTCAACTTGAATCGGCTTGAAACAAAGCCAAGGATATTCTAAATTGACGGGCGCATAATATCATTAGTGTAATATTTGCAAACTAAAATATATTCTCGTGTATTTCATTTTGATATAACGAACAGAAAAACATGGCAACAGGGCACTATTAAAGACTTATCCAGTTAAAAACTGGAATTTTGCATAGTTTTGAGGTTATTTCATAAGGAACATAGAGAATTAAGATTGGCACATTAGGGTTCTAATTTCCTTATTAGAATACCTGTTGCTTCTTTAAATTGGACAACTCTAGAGCTGACAAAAAGTTTTCATTGACAATTGTTATAAATATATGTGACTTGGCGTTGTAAAAGAATTCAGGAACTCTTGCCAAGGAATTCTTTCATTTGGTTATGTGATTTCTGTGTATGCGTGAGGATCCACTTTCAAGTTCCGTGCGGATGAACGTATTTCCTAAATCCTGTGTACTTCAAACTTCCTGAAATTCACTCTCCCTTAATATGCGCACAACAGAAATGGCTTTCATACAAAATAATATTGTATACGACTAGGTTTGGTTTGGGGTAACGTACGACCGTAATCGATATCATGCGTAAATTAACTGCTTGACACTGTCTTTCCCTGTATAGACCGCGAGCAGTTTGCCCAAAAATCTAAATCCGCGGACTGAAATTAAGGAGGGTCAGGAGGAACCGCTTGCAATCTATTCCCTTTGTGCAAAATTTACATACCCTCATGATAAAAATTCCTGTAAACTCATGTTGATCTTCTTCAAGTAATCCCCCAACTCAACCATGGTTCACAACATTAAACTTCGGAAGAGAGTGATGACGAGTTTTGTTTCTTTTAAAAATTTGAAATTTGAAGTTTATATGATAATAATATATTATGAATTCAAAACGGAATTTGACCTTGCAATATTGGGTGAGGGGGTTAGGTTAAGGGATAATTAAGTTCTGGATCGATTAGGATGACACCACATCTGTTTATTAAATAGAGAATAATACATGCATGGGTGCGCGGAAATAGAGATTTATTTCGAGTGTTGAACATGATATCTCAATCTCAAGAGTTCAACACGAGAAATAAATCTAGATCTGGTATTTCCAAGCATCTATGTATTTTTCTGTTTATTATATAAAGGACAGTCTTTGAAAAGCGATAATTTTTACAGAAAAGCGATAATTTTCACATGTGAAATTATCATAAATAATCTCACATGTGAGATTATCAGTTTTATCAGCGCTCGAAATCTGTATAAAGCACTATATTTTATATAATAAAAATGAATGATACACATAGCCTATAACTGGGAATTTGTGGCAAGGTGCCCTGAACTAATTGATTTCAAATTTAAATCCATTCGCATATTGAGTTTCGTATACTCTTTCAGATACAAACACTTAATCTACAAGCACTTGTTTTTTTTCTACTTAATGTTTTTCTACTTAATGTTTACTTAATGTCTCTATAGGCTGAAGGATTCCCTTTCGAAAACGAAATTTCCTGATTCAGAGGATGTTTAACATAACTTGCATTCTTCCTTGTGTTTTGTCCAATTTAACGAATTCCTTGTTAATGTTACTATCTAAACCGCTATGGTCTTGTAAAATTTATATATATATTTTTATATTTTTTTTCAGGGAAGACCAAAAGAGTAAAAAATGCATTAAAATGTGAGTTTTTTTTATATTAAAGATTTTTTATATTAAAGGCTACGTTTACAATGTACCGCGGATAGCATTTCGTAGCGACGTGAAAAAACACCTATCCGCGGTACCTTTTATATATAGGAACGCTATTTTAGTATTTTCAGAGGAATTATTGCAATGGAGAGATGTTAATTTTCTCAGCTTCTGAATGTTGTACATTCCATATTGGACATAGGTGCTTTTTCGCGCCGCTACGGAAAGCTATCTGGGGCTGTGGTTAATTTTAATAGTCCGTACATTTGGACAGCGTTGATGATAAAATAACTTTGTCTTCGGTACAGTGGATTAAATTGCTACAATCATCCTTACAGTCGTGTAAGGTCAAGTGTAAGATATAATAACAAAGACCTTGAAATGAAAAGACATAAGTGTCGAAAACTGCACGTGCATAAAATGATATGAATATACAAATTGTTTCCGGTGTTGGTTGAAAGTTGTTATTAAATTGCATACGTATTTCAAATGGACGTGCTGGCTTAGGATTGCTACGTGCATATTTATCTAACAACTGTAATGTTTTTGACGTGCGATGTTGCGTCCTAAAAATACTTTTTGCCGAGTCACCTTACGATGGACACCAGAGGCGAAGGGGCGCCACAGTCCTCCCCCCCCCCCCCACAATAATTTCTGAACGCCTTTGCATGGTGGTAATTGCTTATAAAATTTCACTTTTACATCTGAAATTCCACATCGACACGTACACCTTCTTTAATAATCATTTGCCTGCTAACAAATCGAACACTGACATATGCCACTGTTGACATTGATTTTCAGTCTCCAAATATTTGAGTGAGTCGTGCCTTCAACCCTTGAATTGTTTTGTTCTTCATTTGCCCAACCTTTTAGTTACTCAAAATTTGTTCACCCAAACCTTTCGTCGGTGCTGCCTACATAAATAATGACCTGTCCCTTATCCAAATAGTTGTCTAAAACGTGTTTTGTTTTGTTCTCATTAGATGTTGGATGCAAACCCGAAGACGGTATTTGTGACAAACGACCACAACGTTACTGCCAATTTAGCCGCTTTCAGTACCAATGTCCCAGGAAGTGTGGCAAATGTGGTGAGTATTTCAATTCCATGGATTGTAAAATAACTTATTTTATTATCCATGGTATTTCACTGTAGATAAAAGCTGGCTTGCACTATCAAATACAATTGGGGTCAACCTGCAGTTATCAGAGGGAGAAAATAATGTTCAGTCTTTTCATTATATAATTATGTTGTATTTGAGACAAATAAATAGAATGTAATAATATATTTACAGCCACCAATATACTTATCAGATCTTCTGTAATTTATCCTAACTTGACCTCTGTTTACCCTCTGTAGCACCATTTGAACCTAAGTGTCCCAAGGAACACGTTTTCGGTTGCTGTTGGGATGGAACTGCAGCAACTAACATAGAAAAAAGTAACTGCCCAGGTAACGCTTCTGTCATGTGGCAAAGTAGCAATGCTTTCAACTCTGCAAAATTCGATTCCTGATACAGGCACTTACCTAATGCCGGTTGTATAAAAGGCTGCCCGTTTTGTATAGTTAAATGGTATACACACGCAAAAATCTGACATCTTGTAGCAAGTCTGCTAACAAGCCGTCAACAAGTTGTGTTCGCACTGCTTGGCCTGCTTGTCAACAAGTGTGGAACAACTTGTTAACAGTTGTCACAACCTTGTTGATATTGTCAGACATGTTGCAAGTTTGTTCCAATAAGTTCGATACAGTCATGATATACTAATATTGTTACAACCTTGTGTGTCGTCAACCTTGTAACATTCTTCTTGTATCAAGACTGTATAAGACTTGTTAGAACAACCTTGTAACAAGTCTGATAATGCCGTCAAAGAGCTTGTTCCAAACTTGTTACAATAACTGCATGAATGGAACAAGCAGTGCGAACACAACTTGTTGACAGGCAACTTGTTCGCAGATCTGGAGGTATAAAGTACAACATTTAATAGAATATGCATACATGAATATATAGTACACAAGTTTTCTTTTAATTAAAGAATAGCACTATAGTTTTATGAATTGATAACGTGAATAACGGCCCGTTAGATCAATTAAAACTGTTTACGACCTTCATATAGCTATACCTTTCTCATGGCCGAATGACTGAATGAAGTTCATGCTCCATATATATAGAGAGAGAGAGCTCACTGGTTTAGTTAAGGTTTTCCTTCTGTGGTAACACTGCACCTCTTGGGAGACGATTTTGACTACTGTGAAAGCAGTTGTTTTAGTATAATAAGAGAGATCAAACCAGCTCAAGTGTGAATGTGCCAATGTGGTGTTTAAATACACCTACAAGACTCAATGTAAAGTTTCATTATATATTTATAATTTTATTTTTCAGTTTGCTCCGATGTGAATGAAGCGATCTGTAAACGTGCAGATATCAGAAAAGATTGTAATTTTTCCAAGAAAACACGTATCACGAGATTTTTGTGTCCAGTTACCTGTGGGGCCTGCGGGGATTTTGGTAAGTGGAATAACTATGTCTTGCATAATATCACAAGAAACCTGCACTTGGAGACTTTATATCACCGCCGTCGAATTATTAAGTTATATATCATTCATAGAATGTCTAATTGTCCAGTTTACTCTGCCAGGTCATAGCCTATCGAAGGGAAGATGGCTGTGAAACTCATTAGAATAACAATATAACTCATTATCTATGTTAGTCAACGTTTATTTATAAATCTGGTCCGTCACGTGCGTATTGTATTTTTGCCCAACTAACCAATAGCAATGTTTTAGAAAAGTTACCTACCCCTGACTCGAACAATAGGGTAAACTGGAAATTGCTATTGGTAGATTTGGCAAAAATACAATGCACACATGACGGTGAAGGCCCAGATTTACGAATAAACGTTGTATGAATAGACTAACATAGAGTTATACGGGGTGTATAAAAAAAACTGAGCAGATTTGAAATTGCTCTCAATTTCGCAAAACAGCTCGAGGTATCAAGTTTTTGTTATATATAGATTCCTTGAGTATACCCATAATATAGAATAATGGAAAAATACTCCAACTTAAATTGTGTAAACCAGGGGGGTGTTTCTTTTCCAACAAACTAAAAATGATGTTTCGCTCGCTACTCTGGTTTAAATAAATGATTACAAAGCCCAGTCGAATTGTAATCAAGACCCAACGTTTCGACACTCCAGTCTAGTGTCTTCATCAGGGGTGATCTAAAACTGCGATCGTGGCTTCTTAAATACCCAAGGGATGACGTCACCTGCCAAGAAGATGCATATATTCCTCTGGCAAGTAGGCACTGTCATCCCTATTCAAAGCATGATGACTCATATTTATATGCCACGCTTCTAGGCAAAGTCTTTGACCATAGCGATTGTTTGTGGTAATTACTTTAGAGTTTTCCCACGCAATCTCGTGTTTGGTGTAACATACATGTTCGGCTAAAGCTGATTTTCCCTTGTCTAAAGTTGAAACAGCCTTTTGATGTTCTTTTAGCCGTGTACCAAACTGGCGTTTAGACCGACCCAAATACTCTTTGTCGCAGTCACCGCATGGTATAGAATATATAGCATGAGTCTTCTGATTTGTTTCAACAGGATCTTTTGGCTTTGCGAAAATATGGCCTAAAGTCAAATAGGGTTTTAAGGCAACCTTAATATTACAACCCTATTTGACTTTAGGCCATATTTTCGCAAAGCCAAAAGATCCTGTTGAAACAAATCAGAAGACTCATGCTATATATTCCATACCATGCGGTGACTGCGACAAAGAGTATTTGGGTCAGTCTAAACGCCAGTTTGGTACACGGCTAAAAGAACATCAAAAGGCTGTGTCAACTTTAGACAAGGGAAAATCAGCTTTAGCCGAACATGTATGTTACACCAAACACGAGATTGCGTGGGAAAACTCTAAAGTAATTACCACAAACAATCGCTATGGTCAAAGACTTTGCCTAGAAGCGTGGCATATAAATATGAGTCATCATGCTTTGCATAGGGATGACGCAGCCTAGACCTAGGCCTTCTAGTCACTTATTTATATTTTTTCATATTCAGCGCTTTTTCACATGAAAAGACTGGGACTAGGTGATTTGGGGGCGGTGCGGAGGAACCAAGCCTAGAAGGCCTAGTTGATTTCCCAACAACATGGCCAAAACTGCCCTGAAACTGCCCTGGTTGCGAAATGCCCAATTATTGCGTTCTCAAACAGAATTACTTGCAACTTAACGGCGAATTTAAACCGATACAGGTAAAATAAACTCATTTATAGTATAAACTTACTATTTTTATTTGTATACACGTCTAGAAAATCGGGGTTTTTATCATAAAGTTCAAAGCAACACTATTATTTAATATGTTGACATTTACTTCACAACGTGTAGCGAAAGCACAAAATGAGTCAAAATATATACCAAAAGTAGAATCTTTCATGAAATTTTGTCTTATACACAACTACATTAATATATATTTTCTCAATTTTGGCAAGAAGCAGTCTTGTGTTTGTAAAATATACAAACACATATACAATTATAATTTATTAAATAAAACGGATACATATATTATTAGCCCGTACATGCAGTACTGTATATAAAAACGTACATTGTTTACAAATGGTATATCCGTAATATTTGAACAATAATTTCAAATTCCTCATTCCCAATTCGCAAATATAGTTATTCAAAGCAAAACAGTAGATTGTCTTGCGAATAAAAGAATTATTATTTTGTGCTTTCGCTTCACCTTGTCAACATAATAATATAGTGTTGCTTCAAACTTTATGATAAAACCCCCGATTTTCTAGACGTGTATACAAATAAAAATAGTAAGTTATACTATAAATGAGTTTATTTTACCTGTATCGGTTTAAATTCGCTGTTAAGTCGCAAATAATTCTGTTTGAGAACGCAACAATTGGGCATTTCGCAATCAGGGCAGTTTCAGGGCAGTTTTGGCCTTGTTGTTGGGAAATCCACTGTGACTAGGCCTTCTATTTTTTCGCTTGCGTCAGGCTTGTATCCTTCCTCCGCCCCGCCCCCAAATCACCTAGTCCCAGTCTTTTCATGTGAAAAAGCGCTGAATATTAAAAAAATATCAATAAAAATAGAAGGCCTAGGTCTAGGCTGGGGATGACGGTGCCTATTTGCCAGTGGAATACATGCATCTCATTGGCAGGTGACGTCATCCCTTGGGTATTTAAGAAGCCACGATCGCAATTTTAGATCACCCCTGATGAAGACACTAGACTGGAGTGTCGAAACGTTGGGTCTTGATTACAATTCGACTGGTCTTTGTAATCATTTATTTAAACAAGAGTAGCGAGCGAAACATGATTGATATACCTGGTTGCAGTGAACGAACAAACTTTAAAACTAAAAATGGCTTGCGCAGTTGCGCACCCAAATTTAAAAGCTGTAATCGTATTTTGAGTTAGTGGATGGAAACTTTGTTGGATACTAATAGCTGTTTTGGGAAATTGAGAGCAATTTCAAATCTGTTCAGTTTTTTTTATACACCCTGTACTGTTATTCAAATCTGTTCAGTTTCAGTTTTTTATACACCCTGTACTGTTATTCAAATCTGTTCAGTTTTTTTTTATACATCCTGTATTGTTATTCTATTCTAATTATTCCATCTTCCCGGCTTCGATAAGCTATGGGCCAATTTTCATCCATGTGTTGATATTTTTTCCAGGCAATAACAGAGCACCTGCGCCTGCTCACACCTGTGAAGATAAGGACCAGCGGTGTTACAAAATGAAGGATACTTCATGTTGCAAAGACAACGAAATCTTGCGAGACGTATGCCCGAAAACGTGTGGAGTGTGTCAGAGTTATCTTAAGTAATAAAATATTTATAGAACA